CCTTCTGCTAAGTTTTGGCTTTTTTTTTTTTTTTTTTCTAATTTCTTGTGGTATAAACTGAGGTTGTTCATTTAAGATCTTTCTCTTTTCTTAACATAGACATTTATAGCTATAAACTTTTAGAACTGCTTTTGATACATTCCACAGATTACACTGCTGTTTAAAATTTTTTCATTATCACTATGATTTTAATGTATTCTCCAAGTTTATGTGTTGAAAACTTAATCCCCAATGCAGTAGTGTTGACAGGTGGGACTTTTAAAAGGTAACAAAGCCAGGAGACTCCTGCCTCCATGAGTGGATTAATGCCATTACTGCAGAAGCAGCTTTCTTCCTCTCTCTTCCTCTCTTGCCCTTCCTACTTTCTCCATAGAACTACACAGCTAGAAAGCCTTCACCAGATGTGATCCTGTGATCTTAGACTTCCCAGCCTCCAGGACCATGAGCCAAATAAACCTCTGTTCATTATCAATGATCCAATCTCAGGTATTCTGCTACAGCAGCATAAAATGGACTAAGACAACCACTGGGTATATGCTCTGTGGGCATGTTACATATGGCCTTTATTGTGTTGAGCTATGTTCCTTCTACATCTAATTTGTTGAAAGTTGGTTTTGTCATGAAAGGGTGTTGAAGCTTGTCAAATGCTTTTTCTGCATCTATTAAGATGACCATATGGTTTTTGTTGTTCCTTCTGATAGTGTAATGTATCCCATTTATTGATTTGCATACGTTGAACCATCCTTGTGTTCCAAGGATAAAGCTCACTTAATCATGGTAAGTGAATCTTTTAATGTGCTGGTTCATTCTGTTTGACAGTATTTTTTGTCTTTCCGTCACTCCTTCTCCAGTCTGTACTGGCAGACTTTGGTGGAGAAAGATCTTGACCGGTCAGCCTGGCTAGATACTCTGGAAGTCTCTCAGATCTTTTTTATGGATGTATCTGCTTTATTCCTCTTCTTCCTTCTTGGTGAGGGGAAGTCTTAGGAGTTTCTTTTCTCAGTCCTGCAAAGCAGGCTAGCTGCTGAGAGCCTTTCATTTGTTTATCCCTAGAGCAATTCCCTAAAGTATTCAAGATTGTGCACCTTCTCTCAATCCAGCAGAGTCAAGCTGATCACTACCTGTGTTCTGACTGCAGAAGCTTGTATGCACATCTGCTGAGGCTCAGGCCTACCCTGCCCAGTCTGCAGGGAAGCACATACCTGCTTATGATGAAGTAAGGGGTTCTGGCCACAGAGGGTGGTGTGTGGAGGGCTGGGGGCACATGTCAGCTGGTTGAGGGCTCAGCACGTTGTGAGTTGGGCTCCTAGCAGACTGCAGGAGCTGGCCAGTAGGTTCTGCTGTTTGTTGTTGAGGTCCATGCACTGGCTGCCGTAAGCCCCCACCTCTTTCCCTGCTCCTAGCTGCCTCTAAATGATTCAGCCACACTGGTCCCCTCACTGCTCTGCATTAAGCGACACAGAAAAGGGTTTCCTGGGCAGCATCCCATGAGCCTGGGGAATCTGGACACTCACTTTGCTCTTGCTTTCCCCATGGCAAAAACTGTGGACTGAGGGAGTCTCTCTTGGCACTGAGTTACCTTGGAAGAGCAGTGATGCAGGTAGAATGAAACAGTTCTTCCCCTTCCATGCATCTGATGTGGGCTTTTTTGCCTGACCAACCAGTTGGAACCACTCAGCTGGCTTCCTAGACTCCTACAAAAGTATCATTGTTCATGGTAGTTGTTAAAATTCGTGTTTCTGTGGGAGTTTGAGAACTGAAAACTCCTATTTTACCATCCTAATAATGTCACTTCTTAAAGGTATAGTTGTATGACAGTTTGTATGTATAGTTTCATTATCATTCAGTCGTATGGCACTTTTAATTATTATGACTTTTTCAATGAACTTAGTTATTTTTGAAGTATGTTTTTAAAGTTTGAAACATATGAATATTAAATTGTTTTTCTTTTTCTTATTTAATTTAATTATATTGTGATTCGAAATTATTGTTTGAATCATACCAGTCTTTGTCCCTTTGTACTTCTATAACAAAATACCACAGACCGGCTCATTTATAAACAGTAGAAATGTATTTCTCCTAGTTCTGGAGGCTGGGAAGTCCAAGATCAAGTATGAACAGGTTTGGCATCTGATGAGGACTTCCATCTGTTTCAAGATGGCACCTTGTTGCTGTGTCTGCTGAAGGGGATGAACACTGTGTCCTCACATGGCACAAGGAGTGGAAGGGGTAAGTTCACCCCCTCAAACCCTTTTATAAGGCACTAACACGTTTATATGGGCATAGTCCTCAGGACTTAATCCCCTCCTAAAAAGTCCACCTCTTAATAGTGATGCATTCGGGATTTAGTTTCAACATGGATTTTGGAGACGCCACCACACTGAAACCATATCGCAATACCATTTTCTTCCAACTCTTTGTAAACCATTTTATGGGCTTGAGACTGATGAGAGTTGATTTATGGTCTACACGTGCTTCCAATGCTTTGCTGTGGGTGCAACTTTCTAAGAATATCAATTAAATCGAATTTGTTCACTTGTTGTTCAAATATTCTATATTCTTAGTTTCAAGTCACATTGCAACTTGGTGGCCCATGACTCCTAAGTATCTGTTCCGTATCTCCTAAGGTCTAGCCCAAGATGTGTTTTTCAAAAGAACAGTAATTATTCATAGAGAATGGCAGGGCTCTGCTCCTAAATCTTGAGGGCCTGTGTCATGATTCACCTACAGGGGCCTGGCAAAGGCTCCTAACAGTCTGCCTATCTGTTACTCTCTGTGAGCCACATTTTGACCCACGTTGCAGCCAATCAAACTATAGAGGCCTTTCTAACATTCTGAGCTGCAACATTAAATAAAGAATCTCTGATTAGTGAGGCCATTACATTTGGTCTGATCCAGCCATATGTTGTTGTACCACCACCTTATACTCTAAATATCATTTGACATGGATTCTCTGGATTTCCGGCCTGTATAGATTAGAAAAATCAACTAGTTCTTTTGCAGTGTGGTACACTTTCTAATGAGTCATGCATCGTTTCCAACTTCAGGTTCCTGCTGGAACTTGACCCTAGGTACAGGTCTAGAAGCAAAGAGGGATGGTAGAGGTGGGTCCTGAGCAGAATCAGCTAGTTTTGCATGGCAACTGCCTCAGGAGAGAGGCCATTACAGTTTTCTGGGCAAGGTAGGGTTAATCCCTTGAGATGAAAATGGACAGGCCATTTTCAGTTGACACAGAGACACTGAGACTGTTTTTACCGGCAAAGACTCATTAGCATTTGGGGACTCAATGTCCCCAGTTTCATCAGTCTTCCTGTACATTCCCATTTCAACTTTCTAAATCTCATTTCTTCCGATTCAATGCCCCTCACATTAACAGACATCCTGAGAAACAGGTTTGGATTTCCACCGTCATTCAACCAGTCACAGGATGAGTTCTGAATCTGGTTTCCAGCAATCTTAGCCCTGTGGCTACAGAAAAAAAGGGTCTCTTTCAGGGTGCTCTTGGAAGCTTTAAGGTTATTTATGTAACACCAAGAAACTCGGAATTCAAATTCCTCTGCACATTTTTTCTTTCCTCACTTTCCTCACTTTTTCTAGCAAGAATAGGACCAACCAGCCAATTTCATCTTACTCACTAGGTTAACAAACATGTTTAAAAAGATCATGTAACAGTCAACCAGTGGTTAATTATGGTGGCAAATGGTGATATTTTGCATATCTATATTGCTAGATCACAACAGGCACTTTCAGACTTTCAGTGCTCTTTCTGTTTTGTTTGTTTGAAGGTGGGGTCTTGCTATGTTGCCTAGGCTGGCCTCAAACTTGTGGACTGAAGTCATCCGCCCACCTCAGCCTCCTGAGTCGCTGGGACTACAGGTGTGCATAGTAATCCCAGCTCAGAGAATTTTAGGGAATTTTAGAATTTTAGGGATGACTTTTCAATCATCCCTAAAATTCTTTTTTCCTAGAAATACTCTTGGTACCAAATCAGCATTAGTGAGCGTTCTCCAGAGTAACAAAACCGTTAGGATGTGTACATACATACACATATATACAAATATCATTTGACATGGATTGTCTGAATTTCTGGTCCGTATAGATCAGAAAAATCAACTAGTTCTTTTGGAGTGTGGTACACTTTCTAACAGGATGTATATATACATTCTGTTTCTTTTACATATTTGAGAGAGAAAGATGGAGATAAACGGAGAGAGGGAGAGGAGAGACAGAAAGAGGGATTTAGTATAAAGAATTGGTTTGCATATATCATGGAGGCTCTTTTAGGTCCCAACTCATGAGTGAGTCCACAATCTGGAGACCCAAGAGAGCCAATGATTAGTTTCAGTTTAAGTCAGAAGACCTGAGAACCAGAAGAGCCAACGGTGTCACTCCTGTCCAAAAGTTCACATGCTCAAGGCATAGAAAGAGCCAGTGGTTCAGTGTGAGTCTGGAGTCCAGCAGCAGCTCTGAGGTCAGGGAGAGCCGGTGTCCCAGTTTCAAGGCTATCATGTAAGATAATTCTCTCACTCAGGGGAGGGTCAACGTTTTGTTCTATTCAGGTCTTCAACTGATTGGATAAGCCCATCCATATTATGGAGGGCAATCCTCTTTACACAGTTCACCAACTTAAATGTGTAAATCTTATGTGTAAACACCTTCACAGAAACAGCCTGAATAATATTTAACCAAATCTGAGCAAATAATGACCCGGTTCAAGTGGACACAAAAAATTCATCATCCTAGTGATACATCATAATCATAGGTGAAGGAAATACTTAATTCTACTCCTCTGGAATTGTAAACAATTCTATTTCCACCTAAGTGTTTATAACTTTATTTTTACATCTCATTGATTTCAAACGTTTAAAATAAATCATTAAACTAAGAAAGATAAAACAACAATCCCAAGATGGAGGCTCCTGTCCTTGCTCTGAGTTACTGAAGCATTCACCGCTCCTCCCCTCCTCCTCCCTCTCCCTATTTACCCTCTCCCTACTCACCTCCTATCTGTACCCTGGATTCCACCTCTTGGCTCAGATGAGGGTGCTGCACGGAACAGGATACGGTCCCAGCATTCTCTGGGACGGTCAGGGAGATCTCCACATCAAACAGGCCATGCATGTCCGTGTGTGTCCTGGAGTCTGTGGACAATTCCTGTCCATGTGGACCTCTCCACTTCGCTGTGGGCCGGGGGAACCAGCCCGAGGACCGACAGAGTAGCTGGATGCCTCTGTCAACATATGCCACCATGGAAATGAGAGGAACCGAGCCCAGTGCTAGGGAGAAAACAGGGAAGGGTTGAAAGCAAAGATCACATCCCAAAGCCACAGCAATTCTGAGTCAGGTGCATTCAGCACAGCCCCACCCATTCTCCCTCTTACAGACTCAAACACTAAAACCACTACCTTTGGCAAAAGCCTTCCCATGGCCTTTGTTCATTTGCCATTTTTTAGCAACTGCTGTGTATGCTTGGCTGTTTCTAAGCACTAATCATGATGAAGTGAGAAAGACAGAACTGCTTCTGATGAGACGCTCAGCTAATGTAGAGAGAGAGCTGAGCTGCCAGGGGTGGGAGTAACAGATTAAAAGAACAACCATCCAAATTAAAGTAATCGTGAAGCCTCTAATTAGTTGATATAAAAGCACAAGCAAGAGCTAAACCAAGGAAGATGCCAACTCCTTCCTGTTTCATCCTCCTCCACGGAATGGAATTCCAGTTGAGGGGCGGATGGATCGTCACACAGGTGGGGCTGGCTGGCTATTGATGGAGGGCTGAACAAAGGGCTTCACAGCTTTATGAAGCCTGAGCTCAGCAGGAGGTCTAGGGAGGAGGGACTGGAATGTAAGATACTGGACACTAAGACAGTGTAGAGAAAAGTGTTTTAGAGTTTGCCTTTTCTGTCCTGGGGGAACAACAGCCAGTGGCGTGGAGGTAAAAGAATTTACCAAGAGAGTTGTAGGTAGAGAAAGGCAGATTTATTAGAGAAACTGGGAAAATGCTTTCCAAGGAAGGGAATTAGCAAGTTAGCAAGAGGGAAGCTAACTGCAAGCAAACAAAGACTTGCTGGGGATTTTTTTTTTTTTTTTTTTTTTTTTTTTTTGAGACGGAGTTTCGCTCCTGTTACCCAGGCTGGAGTGCAATGGCGCGATCTCGGCTCACCGCAACCTCCGCCTCCTGGGTTCAGGCAATTCTCCTGCCTCAGCCTCCTGAGTAGCTGGGATTACAGGCACGCGCCACCATGCCCAGCTGATTTTTTTTTAAATTTTTTTTTTTTTAATTTTTAGTAGAGACGGGGTTTCACCATGTCGACCAGGATGGTCTCGAACTCTCGACCTCATGATCCACCCGCCTCGGCCTCCCAAAGTGCTGGGATTACAGACTTGAGCCACCGCGCCCGGCTGGGGATTTTATAGAATGAAACTTGGGCTGATTGAGAAGGCCGAGGTAGCAGGGAGCCTAACATATTATTTTGTCAGCTGGGATGTTGGATAAATTGAGGTGCTTGATGGTAAGCAGGAAGTTTGTGAGTTCTGGGCCATATATCCTGGGCTGTGTGTCCAGGACAATAAAGAAAGGCAGATCTGTAAATTCTCTGCTTCCTCTTTTGTTTAAATTTTCTAGACATGAAAAAAGGCATGTTTAGAGTTTATTTCCTTTTTTTTTTTTTCTTTTTGTTTTTACTGGTCCCACCAGCCTGACTCCTTTTCCTTAATTAGGACTCCACATTCTCCTCCTTGATAGAAGGCACTTGAAAATTCTGCCCAAGGCCTGAGATAGAGACCTGAGAATGAAAATGCCTGGGTTAGAAATGCAAATATGTAAAGACCAGGACAGCTTAGAGGGGCCTGAGGGCTCACCTGAAGCTCTCGGCAGGGACTGCCATGCATTGATTATGTTCCAGGTCTGCTATGAAGACGAGGCCTTCCAGGAAACACTTCTGAAAATTGCCTATGGGCAGGCCTGAAATATCACTCATGGTGTTTTTATCAAAATTATTTTAAGTTAGTCAAATTTAGCAGTGGGGAGTTATACACCAATTTTAGTGACACTACTGTTAATAAGTTCTGATAATCCACTATCATTAGAGCAGCCCCACTCACAGGTTTTTAATCAGGAGACAGATTCTTCACAACTCACTGACCGCACAGGGCAACAACTGTAAACAATAAATTTCTTTTTTTTTTTTTTTCCTTCTTTTTCCTCCTTTCTTCTTCTTCTTCTTCTTTTTTTTTTTTTTTTTTTTAAATAAAGATGAGGTCTTCCCATATGCCCAGGCTGGTCTCCAGCTCCTGGACTCAAGCAGTCCTGCCTCAGCGTCTCAAAGTGTTGGAATTACAGACAAGAGCCACTGAACCCAGCCCCATCAAATACATTTCACTGTGAACGGTGGTGTGACTATGGAAGCACAGTCAAGTTAACACAGAGCATTGAGTGATTCATTGTTTCATTGTCAGGGGAAGTCACAGCATCCTGGAGCTGACATTTGCTCCCTGCTATGTCAGATAAACAAAAAAATTGTAGGACAAGTGAGCAATAATTTTTATTTGTTATTTAAAAATAAATTTCCGTAAGGAAAACTACTATTTGACAGTGTGGAAAAAAGAAAGTATTAATACAGGCAATAATTTGGATAGATCTCAAGAGCATTATGCTGAATTTTAAAAGTCAATCTCAAAAGGTCACCTACGGTGTGAGTCTGTGTATGTAACATTCTTGAAATTACAACGTCAGGGAGATGGAGAACCCCAGCTGGGTGTTGAGAAGGGTGGGTGTGACCATAAAGGGGTAGCAGAGGAACATCTTTGTGATGATGGGGTAGTTCTATGCCTTGATGTGATGGTGGTTACATGAATTTAAACATGTGATAAAATACATAGAAATATACACATAACACAGAAGGAACTTACAGTGTAGAATACTGCCTTCTAACTAAATGACCTAAAATTTTAAAATTTCCTTATTGAACAAACCACTTATAAAGTCAGGATGGTTCTTGGGGACAACTAAGTCACGAAATATGAAACTGACCTGACACCTGCAGCTCCCAGACAGCCTCCTGGTGATAAGACTGGGAACCAATCCAGCACCCGTAGAGGCCAGCATCCAAGACAGTAATGTTTTCCAGCCTCAGAGAGACGTGCCCCTCTGCAATAGAATCCTTCACCAATTTTGTCCTGGCTTGATACTGTGGCATCTGCATAGATGGCTGCTCCTTCCCTTTCCTGTAGAGGGAGACCACGCTGGAGATCTGGCCCCGGAAGAACCGCACTTCCATGGCCTCTGCATTGGTCTCAGGAGACAGGAAACAGGAAAATACTGCGTCCTCCCCCACCAAAGCCTGGACAGGCTTGCCTGGCCCAAGCACCTGCCACTGCCCTGTGGGAAGAAATAAAAAGAAAAATAATGAAAAACCTTTATAGGGTGACCTACTCAGGGCTCCAGTGGGCTGGGCTGGAGAAGTGCATCAGGGAGAAACATATATCATAATCCTATTTCTTTTTTTTCTTTCTTTCTTTCTTTTTTTTTTTTTTTGAGATGGAGTCTTGCTCTGTCACCCCAGCTGCAGTGCAGTGGCATGATCTCAGCTCACTGCAACCTTTGCCTCCCAGGTTCAAGTGATTCTCTGGCTTCAGCCTCCTGAGTAGCTGGGATTACAGGCACCCACCACCATGCCCAGATAATTTTTATATTTTTAGTAGACACAGGGTTTCACCATGTTGATCAGGCTGGTCTCGAACTCCTGATCTCATGATCTGCCTGCCTTGACCTCCCAAAGTGCTGGGATTACAGGTGTGAGCCACTGCCCAGCCCACAATCCTATTTCTAAATTCGACGACTGGCATTTGTACATCTTACATTTGACAAACCATGTCCACATCAATTACTTCATTCAGTCTTCAGTAGCACCTGCATTATTATTGTCTTTATTTTCAAGATGAGAAAAACATAAAAAAGTCTTTATTTTTAAGATGTGTATTATTAATGTCTTTATTTTCAAGATGACAAAACGATGTTATCCACAGGAAAGAAAAGTCCCTTTCTAGGCCGGGCGCGGTGGCTCAAGCCTGTAATCCCAGCACTTTGGGAGGCCGAGGCAGGTGGATCACGAGGTCGAGAGATCGAGACCATCCTGGTCAACATGGTGAAACCCCGTCTTTACTAAAAATACAAAAAATTAGCTGGGCGTGGTGGCACGTGCCTGTAATCCCAGCTACTTAGGAGGCGGAAGCAGGAGAATTGCCTGAGCCCGGGAGGTGGAGGTCGCGGTGAGCCGAGATCGCGCCATTGCGCTCCAGCCTGATGACAGAGCAAGACTCTGTCTCAAAAAAAATAAAAAATAGCCGGGCGTGGTGGCTCAAGCCTGTAATCCCAGCACTTTGGGAGGCCGAGGCGGGTGGATCACGAGGTCAAGAGATCGAGACCATCCTGGTCAACATGGTGAAACCCCATCTCTACTAAAAATACAAAAATTAGCTGGGCATGGTGGCGCGTGCCTGTAATCCCAGCTACTCGGGAGGTTGAGGCAGGAGAATTGCCTGAACCCAGGAGGCGGAGGTTGCGGTGAGCCGAGATCGCGCCATTGCGCTCCAGCCTGGGTAACAAGAGCGAAACTCCGTCTCAAAAAAAAAAAAAAAAAAGAAAAGAAAAGAAAAGAAAAGTCCCTTTCTAAATGCAGACCCTTTGATTCAAGGAGATTATATTACCACATTCTCTCCCATCTGTCCATTGGCTTCAATTTTTAAAAAGCCCCCTTTCCATCTTCCTTGCTAAAATCCAAAGTCGACGTCTTTCTAATAACTCAGAGAAGAGGATGAGCCCTAAAATCTCCAGTTTGGGACAATTTGTTAAGATTTCCTTCAAACGCCGGGCGCGGTGGCTCAAGCCTGTAATCCTAGCACTTTGGGAGGCCGAGGCGGGTGGATCACGAGGTCGAGAGTTCGAGACCATCCTGGTCGACATGGTGAAACCCCGTCTCTACTAAAAATACAAAAAATCAGCTGGGCATGGTGGCGCGTGCCTGTAATCCCAGCTACTCAGGAGGCTGAGGCAGGAGAATTGCCTGAACCCAGGAGGCGGAGGTTGCGGTGAGCCAAGATCGCGCCATTGCACTCCAGCCTGGGTAACAAGAGCGAAACTCCGTCTCAAAAAAAAAAAAAAAAAAAAAAAGATTTCCTTCAAACACAATGTTATATAATTGTTTTATGACTACTATAGAGGAATATTTTATTTCTACCCATGGTGCACACGTGTATCTGTACTTCCTTAGTTAATTCGAAAATCTACTAGCTCTTCCAAGTTCTGAAAGACATGCTATGACACAGAAACAAGATTTTACAGTTTATTTTCCACACATTTATTCTTTAGCACATTCAAGTGTGACTTATGCTTTCCCAAGCATGTACCTTTTACACTTGTGTGGTAAGTTTTTACACTTTATTTTAGCACTTAATGGTGCTTCATCTGGTGCTTTGTCAACGTGTCTTGCCTGCATTAAAAAAAAAAAAAAATCTTGGTACACCTGTGTCCTCACCTCGCTTTGAAACTTTCTTCATTCTTCATAGTCTTGCTTCAAGGGTGACAATTACACATTTTCTGTGAGCCTCCCCTGCACAGCTCTTGGCTCTGTGGGGACAGGGCCTGATTCTCTTGCTCAGCATGGGACTCCCTTGTTCAGCACAGAGCCCATCACAGAGAACAGGCTCCACACACAAGTTACTCATATGAACGGTGAGCACGATCTCCTTTCTGACTTGCTCATCTGTTTAACAATCATTTGAGTTTTTCCTGGTGTACATCACTCTTCCTACCCTGTAAGGACTACAACGCTTCTTAGATGTGAAACTATGGCGGCCCACTCCCTTCATCTTCCAAGTAGCCACCCCCTTTGTTTGGCAATGTCTCTTGATTAATTCACGTGCATCCATTTATGGTATATAGATCCACCTGTGTGTGGTGTGTGCATGTGCATCAAAGGTAAAGTGAATCACATGAATTTCTAGACAGGTGGATTTTTTAAATTTTAGCACGAATTATTTTTCAGTTTAATTAAATTTTTATCAATCTTGCTAAAGTGTATTTCAGTCATGCATCTTCAAGACTGTTATTAAATGAGGCATGGCTTTGCAGCCTGACGTCTGATCAGCTGCTGACCTGGTATAGTAGATGTTGAGGCCCTGCTCCTACCACCCAACCCTGAGTCCCCTGCAGTGGGATGGGCACTTCCCTGCCTGCTGACAGTTCCGCCCCTGGAGCCTGGCCTCTGCCTCTCTGCTGAGGGCTTCCTTCCTGGAACCTTTGGAACCTACTTAGCCTTGTGCCAGGGCAGCTCAGAAGATTTGAAATTTTTTTTTTTTTTTTTTTTTTTTTTTTTTTTTTTTTTTTTTTTTTTTTTGAGAGACGGAGTTTCGCTTTTGTTACCCAGGCTGGAGTGCAATGGCACGATCTCAGCTCACCGCAACCTCCGCCTCCTGGGTTCAGGCAATTCTCCTGCCTCAGCCTCCTGAGTAGCTGGGATTACAGGCACGTGCCACCATGCCCAGCTAATTTTTTGTATTTTTAGTAGAGACGGGGTTTCACCATGTTGACCAGGATGGTCTCGATCTCTTGACCTCGTGATCCACCCTCCTCAGCCTCCCAAAGTGCTGGGATTACAAGCTTGAGCCACCGCGCCCGGCAAGATTTGAGATTTTAATAGTTCTGGGGCACATCTCACCCGGTAGGGAAAGGCGACAGTAGATGCTGGGATGACTCTGAGCTACCATGTATACAGTTCCTGCAATGATCCCAGTGGGACTGGGTCCCAGCTGCCACTGCAGCAGCCTGCTCATTAGCACCCCTTCTATGGCTGTCCTCCCACACGCTTTCTATGGCTTCACTCACTGCACTCCTTCGCTTCGTTTTCCAGAATCACGTGCTGAACAAATCACTGGCAGGAAGGCCCTTATCTTAGGTGAGATTTTGGGACCCAGCCTTTACAAGCTGGGCTGCTGTGGGTGCTGCCTTCAGGGCTGTGTGGGGCTCTCGAGGCAAGGGAGCATTTTCCAGGGTACCTCTGTTTCACCAGCCAGCCCTTGCTGCTGTCATCTCTCTTGCCTGTAACATCTCCTTTCACTCTTTCTACTTCCTTCCCTTGAAGATGAGAAAGGAACAAGAATGTCTGTTGCTGCAACATGGCAGGCACCAGTGCACCTCTGTGCAGTCTACATGCACAGCTCATGCGGTCCCTGCTACAGCCCCATCGGGAACGTGATCGTAACTTCATGTGATCATCAGCAAACCAACACTGAAGGAAGCTGTGAACCATAAAGTCACAAACAGGCGAAATAAGAGTTTTAAAAAATAAATGTTTCTGTCACCAAGATCAGGTCCATGATTCCCTGCCGCCTCACCCAGAAACAGAAAGGAGACAAAGAAGCTCATCAGAAAATAAATGAAAACAAACTGAAATGAGAGATTCTCCTATTAGTAACACATATGGGTTTTTGTTTTAAGGAAACAGGCTATATGTTTTTGATTGCCCTTATTTCTGTTCTTTTAGCTTCATTTAGCAAAAAAAAAAGATATAAGTGGACAGGTGGTAGGATGAATCTTTACAGACAGAAAGTGAACACAGTTGATTGAATCTTCTGTGGCTGGGTACTGACCACCTAGCAACCAACATTCTGCTCCAACCTCAAGCTTCCTCTGTGAATTTTATTCAATTACTCAACATCCTATATACTAGGTTCTGTGTTAACAGTAACTAGAAGGAAAAAGAAGGTGGATTTCTCCCCAGAATATACCAGGTTTCAGCTCATTTATCACCTCAAGACCTGTACACCTTCCTCCACCTCATGTCTCATGCAACAGACATTTCTAACTCACCATGTCAGCTGGACAAACTGTCTTTTCCCCCAAAATTCTAACTGTCTCTTCCCAGCTGGACATCCATGTCAGCAACCTGGGTGCTCTAACAACCCTGCCTACACCACTTAGCCCATCTGGGGCTAACACTGAATCTATTCACTTTAACACATTTGGTGTGTCCTCATCTACGATGATGGTGCCTCTCCAACACCTGTGTGTCCAGTATTTAGGGGCCACTGTAATTGTTTCCACAGTGCCTCATCCTTCCCCAGGCTGAGGCTAGGAGAAACCAAAGGAATAAAAACAACAAAAATGCCCCCATTCCGTTCTGCTGCAACCATCGTAGCTAAAGAACTCAAACTTTAGTTAACGAGAAGGAAACAAAGATTAGTCTTACCTGATCCCAACTTGAGGAGACTCAGAACCAAACTGAGCATGAGAGCCATGGATGTGTTCTGCAGCTGGACCTCACAGCATGGAAACAGATGACAGGAGAGGTGACAGATGGATTAGAGAGAAGGGATCTGGCCTAACGCTCGAGGTACAGAAGCTGTGGAGAGGCTCCGCATGGGCTGAGGGCAAGACGCACAGTTCTGCTTAGAGTCTGCCCCACCTAGACCTGGCTGTAATGTGCTAGAAGCGTAGGGACGCTGGACTTTGAACCACTGCATTTATAAGCAGGACATAAATGTTTATCCCTTATCAGGAAAGCAGAGATAGAAATAGTGTGGATAAGATTGGAGGTGAACTTTGTCCTGGGTCAAAACTATGCCTTTTGTAGGTGAAACAGGAATGTCACATGCAGAAATATTTTTCAGGTCCAGTCTGGCAGGAAGGGATGTACGGCTAAGGGATCTAGTCCTGAAGGAGACATCATTGTGGCACTGGAGAGTTTGGTGTCCAGGTAAAGAGGCAGTGCTCCATTAGTGGTGACCTACAGCAGGTGACTTGACATTTCCCGGCACAGTCTGAGGTCATTTTGCTTACCCCTCCATTGTCTGGACTTCAGAGCAGGACTGTAATGAGGACGGAGAAAAATAACGTTCTAGAACAAAACAGATCCTTAGTGTTAACCATCTCATATATTGGGAAAGGTACCAGGCAGGTTCGGGGATGAGGAAACTTATTTATTATACAAACTAAGCTCCAGGGCAGCCACCATGAGGGGTTTGCATTCTTTTTAAGCACATGGAAACTCACAAAGTCACCACTTAACTAGATCAGAATGAAAATTTCCACAAATAACCACCAAAATAAACATACTGTAGCCATAACGGAATTAAAATTAAAAAGCAATTTGAAAACATTGGAAACTCTATACAGTAAGAAATTCTTGTATGACACAATTTAAAACAACTCATGGAACCAAATCACAGTAAAAGTTAGACAGCATCTAGAAGAGGGAAAAATGAAATCACTACGTTCAGTCTAAAATCCAGTACACTGACAACAGCAAATGCTGGTGAGGATGTGGAACAACAGGAATGCAACATGGTGCAGTCACTCGGGAAGAGAGTTCAGCAATTTCCTGTAAAATTAAACATACTTTTATCATGTGATCCAGCAACTGTACTGCTTGTTAGTTCCCTAAATGACTTGAAAACTTACGTCCACATGAAAAATTGCACAGGAATGTTTATAGCAGCTTTATTCATGATTGCCAAAACTGCATGCAATTAAATATCATTTAATAATGAATATATACACAAACTATGGTATCTACACAATGGGATATTACTCAGAAACAAAAAAAAGAGGAAATGAGCTGTTGAATGTTGTAAGCAAGATAGTAGAATAGAAAGTTCTTGATCTCAAGGCCGGGCGCGGTGGCTCAAGCCTGTAATCCCAGCATTTTGGGAGGCCGAGGCGGGTGGATCACGAGGTCGAGAGATCGAGACCATCCTGGTCAACATGGTGAAACCCCGTCTCTACTAAAAATACAAACAATTAGTTGGGCATGGTGGCGCGTGCCTGTAATCCCAGCTACTCAGGAGGCTGAGGCAGGAGAATCGCCTGAACCCAGAAGGTGGAGGTTGTGGTGAGCCGAGATTGTGCCATTGCACTCCAGCCTGGGTAACAAGAGCGAAACTCCATCTCAGAAAAAAAAAGAAAGTTCTTGATCTCATGCTGTCTCAGAAATACAGATTTACCAAGGATATATAGATCAAGATACCTTTATAAGAAGCTGCCTAGAAGGCACTCTGTCCTCTCCATTCCAGTGGCAACTATGCCCCACACATGGCCATTTGGAGCCTAAGGCTTACAGGATGCTCAGGCCCCCATGGACCAAACAGTCCAACCCAGCAAGGAAGTCAAGCCTGGCCTGGTGGAGCAGTTGTGCGCTCTCAAGCATGAACCAAACACCCTGCCCCCAGAGAAGCCATGCCCAACAGAATGGCACCAATACCCCCTTGCATGCAAACTAGCTGGGGGTCCCAGCCTCAGCCCCAGGAAAGCCATGTCTGAGACGGTGGAGCAGTTGTGACCCCTTGGCACATAAAGCAGCCTGCTGCCCCACCTCTAGAAAAGCTACGGCCAAGCTGGCACACCAGCTTTATTCCCTCAGCACATTAACCAGCCCAGCATCCCACCCAAGGGAAGCTATACCTGAGCTGGTGGAGTAGTTGTGCTCTCTTGGTGCTTGAGCCAGCCCAGTGTAATCCACTCTGCTACCACCACTGGCACAAACTACTGCAGTACAGGCCACTGAGGCAGACACTTGTCACTGACACTGATTATAGATGAAAAACTTCACAGACTACACTGCTGTGTCCAGACAGAGGCACAGCCAATGCACCCTACTCAGTACCCTAGGACCTATCAACGGGAAAGTTTTTTTCTTACAAAAGCTACTTTATAAAGTTAGGAGAGGCAAATGTTCCACTAGATGCACATATGTCAACACAGGGACACAAGAAACAAGAAAAAGCAAGAAACATGACTCTCCTCAAAGAGGCTGAGGCAGGAGAATCACCTGAATCCAGGAGGCAGAGGTTGCAGTGAGCTGAGATGGTGCTGGTGTGCTCCAGCCTGGTCCACAGAATGAGACTCCATCTCAAAGAAAGTAATAATAAGAACAATAATAGTAATAATGATATTAGAAAACTCAGTGAGATTTAAGAGAATACAGATGGACAATTGAAATAGACCAGGAAAAAAATTCATGGTCTAAATGAGAAATTCAGCAAAGAAATAGATATCAAGAAAAATTAAACAGACATCTTGCTACTAGATTATTCAATGAAGAAAATAAAAAATATAATAGAGAGTTTCAAAGGAAGACTAGATCAAGCTTAAGGACACAAATAAACTGAAAGTGAAGAGAAGGAAGATTTTCTTTTATGCAAACAGTAACCAAAAGAAAGCAGGGGTATCTATATTTATGTCAGATAAAATAGGCCTCAAGTCAGAAACTGTTGCAAGAGACTAAGATGGTCTTTAAGTAATGACAGGAAAATAAGTTAATCAGACCATAGCAATTATAAATATGCAACCAACATCAAGATGCCTAAATGTATCAAGCAAATATTAATGAAGATGCAAAAAAGTAGATAGCAATACAATAATATTAAGGAACTTCAACACCACTTTTTAACAATAGATACATGAACTGGACAGAAAATTAACAAGAAAATACTGGATTTGAACTGCACATTAAACCAAATGGACTTTAACAGTCATGTATAGAATTCTTCACCCAACAGTAGCAGATTATATATATTTTTTCTAGTGTACATGGAACATTATCCAGGATAAACTATATGAGAAGCCATAAAACAAGTCTTAACAAGAAGATTAAAAGCATAAGAGTATTGTTTTCAGCCATGACAGTATAAAATTAGAAATCAATAACAGGAGAAATTTTGGAAAAGTCACAGAAATTAAACAACATGTTTCTGAAAAATCAATGAATCAAATCAGAATCAAAGGTAAATTAAAAGTGCTCACTTCAGTAGCACATATACAGAAGGAAATTTTTTTTAAATTTTGATATAAATGACAAAAAAATTATCAAAACCTATGGGGTGAAGCAAAAGTAGTTCTAAAAGGAAACTTTACAGTAATAAATGCCTACATTAAAAAAGAAGAAATATCCCAAATAAATAACTTAATGTTACGTTCTAAGGTGCTAGAAAAAGAAAAACAACCTAAACCCAAAGTTAACAGAAGAAAGGGAACAATAATATCAGAATAGAAATAAATCACATAGAGAACAGAAAAACCATTTGAAAAAAATCAGTAAAACCAACACTTGATTCTTTGAAAAACAAGATTTTTTTTTTTTTTTTTTGAGACAGAGTCTCACTCTGTCACCCAGGCTGAAGCTCACTACAACCTCTGCCTCCTGGGTTCAAGCAATTCTCCTGTCTCAGCTTCCCAAATAGCTGGAACTATAGGCTTGCACCATTATACCTGGCAATTTTTTTGTATTTTTAGTAGAGATGGAGTTTCACCATGTTGGCCAGGCTGATCTGGAACTCCTGACCTCTCAAGTGATCTGTCCACCTCAGCCTCCCAAAGTGCAGGGATTACATGCATCAGCCACTGTGCCCAGCCTTGAAAAATAAATAATAACGACAAATTCCAAGACAGACTAAGAAAAAAAAAAGATTGGAATAAATAAATTCAGAAATCTAAGTGAAGAGCATACAATACATGACTCAAAAATAAAAAGTATCATAATAAATAATTATGAAAAAGTATCTGCCAACAAATTGCATAACTTATAAAAGTTAATAAACTCCTATAAAACTGTAACCTTTCAAGAATAAATTAGAAAGTAACCGAAAGCTTGAACAAACTAGTATAATAACAAATAAAGAGACTGAAGACGTAATTAGAAACCATCCAACAAAAACAAAGCTTGGGAACAGATGGCTTTATGGTTGAATTTTACCAAACATTCAAAGAAGAATTACTACCAATACTTCTTAACTCTCCCAGAAAATAGAGCTGGGGAAATACTTACAAACATATTTTATAAGGCCAGCATCACGTTGATATCCAAGCAAGAAAAAGACACCACAAGAAAAAAAAAAAAAAAAAAAAAAAAAAAACTACAGGCCTATAACTCTTACATAATGCAAAACTGCTCAATTGAATATTAGTAAACCAAATTCAATAACACATCCAAAAGAGTATGTGCTATGACCAAATGGTATTTACCCCTGGCATGAAAGGCTGGTTTAACATACTCAATCAATGTAATACATCACATTAACAGCAGGAAAAATAGAAAACCACATGATTATCTCAATCGACAGAGAAAAGTATTTGACCAAGTTCCGTGTCCATTCTTGATTTTAAAAAACTCTTAACATCTGGGTGCAATGCCTCACACCTATAATCCCAGCATTTTGGGAGGCCAAGGTAGGCAGATCACTTGAAGTCAAGAGTTCAAGACTAGTCTGGCCAATGTGGTGAAATCTCGTCTTTACTAAAAATACAAAAATTAGCTAGGGGTGATGGCGTGTGCCTGTAGTCCCAGCTACTCGGGAGGCTGAGGCAAGAGAGTTGCTTGAACACGGGAGGCAGAGGCTGCAGTGAGCTGAGATTGCACCACTGCATTGCAGCCTGGGTAGCAGAGCAAGAGTCCCTCTCAAACAAAAACAAAAACAAACAGAAAA